CAGTTCTGGATTGCTGCCAATCTCGCCGTTCCAATCGCAATGAAACCTATTCAGAGTCCACTGGCTGACATAGTCTCTTCATGGTTGGGGTTCTGAGATCAGCAGTTCAGTTGAAGGGATCTCCAAAGAAACTTCATCTGAGATGTTCCCAGACCTGATTCTTGCATGAGTTTGCTAGTACAGGGTCCAACACCGTCCGCCACACCAATCAGCTCATTCACAGGCTGGACGTTGCGATTGCTGGGTCCGTTCTGCTTCCAGCCCTGTCTTCCTCATGAACCAATGGGTGTTGTAGTCCAGCTTGATCCTACCCACTTCATACTCGGTCCTCACACAAACCAATGGGAGCTGCAGCCTAGTTGGGGCAACTCCCCATAACCCCCACCAGGCCTGCCCCCTACCCTGGTTCCCATGCTTGCCAGTATATACTGCAGGCTTGTCCAGTCTGTCCCACATCCCATTTAGCTCTCGTACATGTCAATGGGCATTGAAGCCTAGTTCAACCCAACCAACCTACTATTCAGCCCACACACTTACTGGCAGGTGCCTTTCTGTCTAGCCACCCCTGCCCCTGTCCTGGTTTTTGTGCTGTCCAGTGAGAGTGGTAACCCCAAGGGAGGTGCCCACTATCTCCCTACTAGGCCACTCCCACCCCCAGATTATGTACTCTCCAGGTGGTTCTGGCATTTGACTTGACAGAATTAGCTCCCAGTGCCAGCCTCTGCCAGCTGATGCTGCAGCTAAGCCCAACCAACCCTCACCCACTCTAATTTATGCTTGCACCAGTCAGGACAGTCAACCCATCCTGGCCCTTCCCTTATCTAGCTCACATGAGGCCCACAGGTATTATAGCCCTGCCTAGTCTGGTCTGCCTCCATCCCGACTCACGCTTTCCAATGGAAGTAGTTGTCCAGCAGGGAAACACACATTCCTCTATCGGCTTTGCTCCCCCCGATTTTCACATGTGCTGTTTGGGTGCTGCAACCACATCTGGTACAGCTCATCTCACCTTGGCATTCCTTAATGTGTACTGGTATTTGTCACAACCGAACCTGGCCCGACCCACACTCTGTTCTGGTGCTCGGATTCACCAGCGGGTGATGTGAACAGGTTCAGCCTGGTCTGCCCCCAACCCATGCCATGTGTATGCCAGTGGGATAATTTCCATAGCCTGTTCTGGGCTGTTTCCTATTGTGCTTCTTGCACTTACCTGCAGGGACTGTGTCCTGCCAGAGAAGTTGTCCAGGCTCCTCCATCAGAACCTCTCCCAGTGCCAGATTTCATGCATACCAGTGGGTCCATGAGCCAGCCCTACTCAGTTCACCTCCTATCCTAGCAGGAATGGTGGCTTTTCCTGACTGGCCTTCAACTGAATCTGGTTCTTACTGTTGGATGTTTCAACCCAGCCATGACTCGTCCATACCCACATACAGCTCACACATGGTAAAGTAAGGGCTGAAGCCTAGCCTAGTTTGTCTCACATCTACCCTGGTCCACCAGAGCACAAGATGGTGCTGGAGTGTCGGCTGGTTTGGTGCTTTCAGTCCCAGTCCACACTTGTGCCAGCGGAGACCACAACTGTATCCTGGTTAGAATGCAGCACCCATTCCAGCCCATGCGCTCCTTGGTGGGAAACTCAACCCAGCTAAGGTGTTCCCTAAGCTCCCCAAGCGGGCCTATTCCGAGCCTTAGTTCACGCTCAGGCCACTGGTTGCTCTGATTCAGCTTGGCATAGCCCCTCACCTGTCCTGGCCCCTGCCTTAGATGCTGTGGCTTAGCGTCCCTGGCTCACACAGATCAGTAGGTGCAAGGGCCTACTTGGCATGACCTGTGCTCCAACCTGATTTCTGTTGTTTCTTGTGAGTTAAGGTTTGCTCGGCCCTGCCCATTCTGCCCCCTTCCAGTTGCAGCCCAGCCCACCCCACATCCTGTTTTAGGATGCACATTTGGGTGCTGCTGCCTTGACCTGCCCAGACTGTTGTGAGTTCCTTTACCTGTGAGTGATGGCAGGTGCCATGGTCACACCTAGCTTAGTCCATCGTAACCCCAGCTTGTGAGCTAACCAGGGGGACTTGTATTTCCACAGGGTTGGGCCCACACAACCCCACAGAGTCTACCCCCAGACCAAGTTCTCTTGCATGCTGGATAGTGTCTTGACCCTGCCAAATGTGACCACTCCACCACCCAGTTGGGCAATGGTACCTAACCCTGCCAAACAGGCCCCCATCCATAGCTTTGGTGTGGACTGGTGTGTGGCCATCAGTGATGTTCTATGCTAACAGCCCATCTCTGGATTCCTAATTGGGCTGGTGAATCAGTCTAACCCAAATTATCTTCTGGATACTTCCCTCCAAACCACCAGGTCTCAGTCCCCACGCATGCCTGAAACTTTCATGACCCTGTCACTGTGAATCATCCAAAATTCACTTCTCACCTACACTAAAACTGGCCTTATTCATGGGTGTCCCCAGGCAGCAACTACATATCTTAAAAACCCCAGAGTTCACAACTAGGCGGCCAGCAGGCAAAGCCTGGCACCACTTGGTGCACTGGCCCAAGGCCAAGGACTCATTCACTGCCTTCCGGCAGTGTCTTTGGCTTGAGTCCCCAGCATTGGGCACCCCCCACAGCCGCCACACTGCAGGGAGCAGCAGTTGCCCCCAACCCCAAGGCCCAAACCTAAAGTTACATTCTTAAATTGGCAAAAATTGTAAATATTCGTCACATATAGCATGTTATTTTGAAGTATGTATACATTTGGAATGGTTGAGCTAATTAACATGGATTATCGTACACACTTATTTTTGGAGAGAATATTTAAAATCTTTCAGTGATTTTGAAAAATATAGTACTTGGGAGCAGTCATTTGGCCTAGAAATTAAGATGCCCCTGGTCCATACCAGAGTACCAGGGTTCAAATCCTGGCTGTGCCTTGATGCCAGCTTCTCCTCAGTGTAGAACCAGGGAGGATTCGGTGACAGCTCAAGTAATAGGGTTCTTTCTGCAACCAGGGAGATCTGGATTGAGTTCCTGACTTCAGTCTAGGCCCAGGGTGGGCCTTTGCGGGTTAGACAGCACTTATCTTTCTATCTTTCTCTAGCTCTCTGTCTCTGCCTTTCAAATTATTTTTCCTGTTTTTTTTTTTTTTTAAGAATACAGTGTTAGACGTGTTGGTTAATTGTAGCCTGTGTTTTGTGCAGTATCTGAAATGTGGTTCTCCTTTCCAATTGTAATTTCATCTGCTTTGACCAGCATCCCCTTCACCTGCTAGCTGCTGGTAATCACAGTTCTATTCCCTGCTTCATTTTCATCGTTTTTAGATTGCATGTGTCAGGGAAGTCATGCATTATTTATCTTTCTGTACCTGGCTTATTTCACTTATAATATCTTCTAGATATAGGTTTGCCCTTGTCACAAATGACAAGATTTCCTTTAAAACTGAATGGTACCCACTCTACTTTATGTATATCTATGTATACACACACACACACATTTTCTTTATCCATTCACCTGTTGAAGACACTTCAGTTTGATTCCATAGCTTGACTTTTGTGAATAATACTACAATGAATAAGATAGTACAGTTAGCTGTTTTGTATACTAATTTCATTTCCTATGAATATATAGTCAATAGTGGGATTGTGGGATCCTACAGTGGTTCTGTTTTCAATTTACTGGGAGCTTCATATCGTTTTCCACAGTAACTGTACTAATTTGCATTCCCATTAACAGTATGCAAGGATTCCCTTTCCTCACGTCCTTGCTGAAACTTAGCTTTCCTCTTTTTGATAATAGCATTCTAAGAGACATAAAATGATACCTCACTGTGGTTTTAATTTTAATTTTGTGGATGATTTCTGAAGCTTGAACAGTTTTTTTAAAATGTCTATTAGCTGTTTGTATGCCTTTTGTGAAGTATCTGTTCAGGTCCTTAGCCCATTTTATGTAGTCATTTCTTGGAGTTGAGTTGCTTGAGTTCTTTATATACTTCAGATATAAATATTATAATTATATATAATCAGATATATGATTTACAAACATTTCCTGTCAAATATGTGTTTTCTATGGGGAGATTATGGTTGTAATTAACTGTGGTGTTCTAATATTGTTTTGACTAAAACTGTTAAATATTCATAAGGAATTAACTTGAATATATTATACATTCACTTATATGTATGTGAATGTTATATATTTATACATTTACTTACATATAACCAAATTTTTTTAATTACTTGCATGCAAATTTACTCTCAGATTTAACTGACTACCAAGATTTCAAAGGTATTATTTAGAAATCAGTTTTGTATATTGTTATATGTTTTGTTTTGCTTTTCGGTATTCCAAAATTGAAAACTGTATTCACAGGGACCAGAAACATCTAAGAAATATATTTTGAGTAATTGGGAAGAGCTGAGTCCTGCTGAATGACATTTAATGATCAGCTCCAGTAGCAGCCAGTAGCCAGGCAGTAAAGGCAAGCCTGAAGAAGATGGACCCTGCCCTGCCCAGTCTCTCATGGCACTGAGAGATTTTGTTTCTCAGCTTAAATATTCATGAGACATAGCACATTTCCATTTTAAGGTTGTTTTGGGAGTAGCACCATATATAAAATAAACTTAACTTTAATATAGGATCTGTGTTTGTATAGAAGTTATGATTCTTTAACCCTGAGAATTTTTCTTTAAGCAATAGAATTAGTAGGGCAGGTATTTGGTACAATGGTTAAGGTGTTGACATCTCACAGCTTGCTGAGTTCTTGAAATCAAGACCATGTAAAGACTTGGGTGGTCTGGGCTCCTCCCCTTCTGTCCCAGAGGCCGATAGACAGGGCCAGTCAGCCATTGACCATCCACACTGTACCCCATATATCAGCATGTTTTCACATAGACTAATCAGGTCCTGGTGAGTTTGAGTTGAAACTATATTGTAGCATGATTTTAGTAATTCTGAGTTTCACATATTCAAAACTACTTTTCCTTCTTTTCCCTATAACCTTATAGTTTGGACCAGAAAATCCCTTTAGAACACAGCAAATGGCTGCCCCTAGAAATATGCTTTCTGGATATGCTGAACCAGCTCATATCAATGACTTTATGTTTGAACAGCAGAGAAGAACTTTTGCCACATATGGTAAGAGATTTAAACAGTTTCAACTTTGGCCTTACTAGAAGAATGTGTGTATGTGTGTGTCTTATGACTTTTAGAAATTATTAATTTAGATACCTTCAGAAAGTTTAAGTACATCTGGAAACAGTTACACAACTGAGAAGATGAATGAGTATTGTTAGGTATCATCTTAAATTCACTAATTTCTGAGTATTGGAAAGACTGTAATCTTAAACACAAAATGTCCTTTGTTATTGTAGTTCAAAATGATCACTTGCTATCAAGTATCCATTATATACTACTAAAGTTGTAAAGGAAAGAATAGTGTTAAGAAATTGCATTTGTTTTTAAATCTTACTGTATGCTAGTTAATGCTGCTCTGTTTCTCAGATCCAGTTTCTGTTAATCACTAAGTGGTATCAGGAAATAGAATAAGCACAAATTCATTGTGCAAGTCTTATATTCTATGAATGGTGAGATTGTTTAAAGAGTATAGAAACTGGTTGTAAAAACAATTGTTACATTATATCATGCAGGGATATAGTAGGAGAAAATTTTGAAATCTTTTCAAGGAGTTTTCAGAAAGTTTATGAAAAAATGCGTATTAAAAACTGCATGAATTTAAAATTTTTGCACCAAAGTAAAATTACCTTTAAATTCTATTTTATAACCTTTTTAATTAATCTCATATTTCACCATAGTAAGCTTATCTTATACTTGCAGTGTGCCAAGTCTTAGCTTATACTCTATACCACTCAAAAGAATTCAATGACCTAGCTGGTTAAGCCACTGAATATAATGCCACTATTTCATATGGGAGCAGGTTGGCATTATGGCTGCTCCACTTCCTATTCAGATGCCTGCTATGCCCCTAGAAAAAAGTAACAGGAGGTGCCTAAAGTATTTGAGCCTCTTTTCATTTAATGGGAGGCCTGAATGAGGCTCTGGCTCCAGGCTTAGGCTTGGACCAGGCCATTGCTGCCAACTGGAACGTGCACCAGCAGATGGAAGATCTGTCTCTTGTATTTTCTCTTTCTCTCTCCTCTTGACTCCCTCCCTTTATCCTTCTGTTTCTCCTTCTCTCTAAAACTCTACCTTTCATTTAAAATAAGTAAATCTTTAAAGAAAGAAGTTCAGGGCCCCGCGTAGTAGCATAGCAGCTAAAGTCCTCACCTTGTATGCACCAAGATCCCACATGGGCACTGGTTCTCATCCCGGTGACCCTGGTTCCCATCCAGCTCCCTGCTTTTGGCCTGGGAAAGCAGTGGACTATGGCCCAAAGCCTTGGGACCCTGCACCTGTTTGGGAGACCCGGACAAGAATTTGGGCTCCTGGCTTAGGATTGGCTTAGCTTCTGACATTGCAGCTACTTGGGGAGTGAATCAGCAGATGGAAGACCTTCTCTGTGTCTCTTCTGAGTATATCTGACTTTCCAATAAAAATTAAATAAATCTTTAAAAAAAAAAAGAAAGAAGTAATAATTCTAGTCAGAATAGTTACAAATGCATTGTACCCATTGTTTATATAAGAGATCCCACATAAATCTGAACTGGTGCATTGTAAATTTATTGTATTCTAGCCTTTGGTAAAATAGACCTTTAAAGACTGCTTACTTTCTTCAAAGCTTTAGAAGAGCCTTAAACAACAACATGAAGTTTTACATCTTCTTTAAAACAAAGCATCAAAAGTTTTTACTGATAATTACTTTTTTTTTTCTTAGACTACCTTATAGCAAGGACACACATCTGAAACTATCCAGTTGTTTTAGGTCTGGTTTGGAGGCTTAACAGGCTGCTCCTCCACTTTTTTTTTTTAAAGATTTATTTTTATTATTATTATTATTTTTTATTGGAAAGGCGGATATACAGAGAGGAGAGACAGAGAGGAAGATCTTCCGTCCATTGATTCACTCCCCAAGTGACCACAACGGCCGATGCTATGCCGATCCGAAGCCAGGAGCCTCTTCTGGGTCTCCTACGCGGGTGCAAGGTCCCAAAGCTTTGGGCCGTCCTCGACTGCTTTCCCAGGCCACAGGCAGGGAGCTGGAAGGGAAGCGGGGCTGCCGGGATTAGAACCGGCGCCCATATGGGATCCCGGGCGTGCAAGGCGAGGAGGACCTTAGCCACTGCACCACAGCGCTAGACCCTGCTCCTCCACTTTCAAGCACTGTATCTCATATGGATTCCAGCTGCTCCACATCCCATCCAGCTCCTTGCTTGTGACCTGGGAAAACAACAAAGGATGGCCCAGGTCCTTGGGCCACTGCACCTACGTGGGAGACCCAGATGAAGCTCCTGGCTGCTAGCTTCAGATCAGCTCAGTGCTGGCCGCTGTGATCACTTGGGAAATGAACCAGCAGATGGAGGATCTTCTTTATCTTTCCTTCTCTCTGGTAAACTGCCTTTCCAATATAAATAAATAAATAAGCAAATAAATAAATAGAAATAAATAAACATTTATTTCTACTAGACAGTTACATATACAGAGCAGAGGAGAGACAAAGAGAAAGATCTTTCGTCTACCAGCTCACTCCGCAAGTGCTCACAAGGGCTGGAGCTGAACCAATCCCAAAGCCAGGAGCCTGTTCTGTGTCTCCCACACAGGTGCAGCATCCCAAAGCCTTGAGTCATACTTGACTGCTTTCTCAGGCCACAAACAGGGAGCTGCATGGGAAGCAGGCTGTTGAGATCAGAACAAGCGCCCTTATGGGATCCCGGCCACTAGGCTGTAGTGCCAGGCCCAAAATAAGTAAATCTTTAAAAATAAATAAAGTGGCTGGGGTCTTTTGCCTTTCCCACCAGGAGGAAGTAATGAGCTAAAGACAAAAGAAATAAATATGATTCTATAGTATATCGGGGCACTCAGAATAAGGAAAGTGACCAGTTTAAAAAAAGAGAGACAGGAAACGATAATGGAATGTCTCCGCCTTTGCACATGCCAGGATCCCCTCTGCGCACTGTTTCTATCCCAGCAGCCCTGCTTCCCATCCAGCTCCTGCTTGTGGCCTTGGAAAGCAATAGTGGAAAGCCCAGAGCCTTGGGACCCTGCATTCATGTGGGAACCCTGGAAGAAGTTCATGGCTCGGTCACTTGGAGAGTGAATCAACAGACAGAAGATCTTCCTCTCTGTCTCTCCTCCTCTCCGTATAGCTGACTTTGCCAAAAAAAAAAATTAAAAAACCAAAAAACTGAGAGCAGTTTGTTTAAATAAGTGAATAACTTCAGCTTTAACATTCCTTTTTCTCCCATCGAAGTACTAACCAGGCCCAGCTTTAACATTCCTTTTTCTCAATCACCAAGTATTGTATTTAGCAAGTATAACTTATATTATTTTATTTTGTTAAGATTTATTTATTTTTGTTGGAAAGGCAGATCATATTTACTGAGGAGACAAAGATCTTCAATCCATTTATTCACTCCCCAAATGGCAGTAGCACCCAGAGCTGAGCCAATCTGTAGCCAGGAGCTTCTTCTGAGTTATCCATGTGGGTTCAGCAGCCCAAGGACCTGGACTGCTTTTCCCAAGCCACAAACGGGAGCTGGATCAGGAGTGAAGCGGCCTGGGCACTATTCGGTGGCCAAATGGGATACCGGTGATTGTCAGTGGAAGATTAGCTAGTTGTGCCATCACACTGGCTCTACCTTCTGTTATTTTTGAGTATTATATTTTTCTCATAGAAAGTTCCTGCCTCCTTTCAGATTGTGATTTCCATGCCAACTTGCTGTCTACTTGTCTTGTTTTTTGTTGCATATAGAAAATGTTTCCTCATTGGCAAAGTACCAGGGAGCAAGCCTTTTGTGCTAGTGTTAGCTGTGAGAAATAAATGACAAGGCATATGTAGTCAGTTCATCACTCTGTGATATTACTTTGTGGTTGTGGCACAAACTGATCTTTTTTTCTCCCCATTTTAAAATGTTGTATTGTTATAATCTCAGCAGATTACTTCTGGGAAATTCATATGGTATAATGCCTTTAGCTTATCATAGAGTCTACCTGCAGATAAGAAGTTGAGATAGTCTTACCTACCATGTCGTCTCATTCACTTATCCTGCAGTTTTGTGCTTGGCTCTCATTCACGATGTGTTTGCGGACTTCTCTGTCATACCTTTCAAAATATCATAGTAAATATTTCTCTATATAACATTGCACAGTCTTTAAGATATTTTCTAAAAATTAATCTCCAAAAGTAGATCAAAGAATGTATCCTAAAATTTTTATTATATATTACCAAATTGGTTTCTAAAAATTTTCCCAGGCTTCTTTTGCCACCGTCATGTATAAAAGTTCTCTTTATTTTTATTCAAGATCATTATGATTGTTTTTCCTTTTATTGATTGTGAATCAGTGATCTCTATTTCAGTCATGATTTTTTTGACTACTGGAAAGTTTGAAAGTCTTTCCATATAGTTGAGAGTATTACTTTGCAGATCATTTATAGTCTCGTCTCTTTTACTTCTTGGAATATTAGAATTAACAATCTTAAGGTTTTAATAATTAAATTGTTATCACAATCATTTCTAGTGAAACTACCAAAAAGGGAAAATATAGGCATTACACCATCAAAAAGATAAAAATGAAAAAATAAGCTTTGAAATATAGGTAAAAATTATTTAAGAACTAAAAAGCACATTCATTTACTTGAAATATAGGATAATAAAAAACTAATTTGGCTGAAATTCTCTAGTGTTTGAGTTGGGCCTGGTTTCATCCTTGGCTAATGTGTAGTAAGGTTCATGGCTAAATATTTAACTTCTGTTATTTGTATAAAGAAAATAGTCACTAGGAGTGGAAGGTAGCAGTGGGCTGGTGGCAGCAAGACTTTTCCCTATAAGCAAAGGAGAAACCAGACAGAGGCAGAAAGGACCACGGAATATCTCTTCCTCTGCCTCCTTCGCCACGTCTTCAGCACGTCAAACCTGGTCCTGTGTATACCCATCATTTCCCTTCAGGAGGAGCCAGGGGCCTCTTCTGGGTCTTTCACGCAGGTGCCCGATCCCAAGGCTTTAGTCCATCCTCAACTCCTTTTCCCAGGCCACAAGCAGGGAGCTGGATGGGAAGTGGAGCAGCCAGGACATAAACGAATGCCCATGTATGATGCCAGCAATTGAAAATGGAGGGTTAGATAATCGAGCCAACGTGCCAGGCCCTGAAGTGGGAATTTTTCATTTAGGGTTTGTTGGTCTGAATTTATAAGAACCTTATTAAAAATCTCATCCAAAAAGTTCACGTGCAGAACACTGTTCTGTAGTCAAAGAAGTAAAAAGTAAAAACTCATGAGATTTGTACCAGTGATTTCAGATTCTGTCTCAAAACTGCTTTTCTGTCACCAAGCCATCTCCTCTAAAACAGATTTTAATTATGGGGAAAAAAGGATATGCAAATGAGCTAATAGCTCATAGGTGGTTAGTCTAGTATGTCTCAAGGGTGAGTTGAGCACTTAAATCTTCAGCTTGTTTGAAAAGTATGTTTCATGGGCCCGGCGCGGTGGCGCAAGTGGTTAAGTCCTCGCCTTGCACGCCCGGGATCCCATATGGGCGCCGGTTCTAATCCCGGCAGCCCCGCTTCCCTTCCAGCTCCCTGCCTGTGGCCTGGGAAAGCAGTCGAGGACGGCCCAAAGCTTTGGGACCCTGCACCCGCGTGGGAGACCCGGAAGAGGCTCCTGGCTTCGGATCGGCATAGTATCGGCCCGTTGCGGCTCACTTGGGGAGTGAATCATCGGACGGAAGATCTTCCTCTCTGTCTCTCCTCTCTGTATATCCGCCTTTCCAATAAAAAATAATAAAAATAAATCTTTAAAAAAAAAAAAAAAAAAAGAAAAGTATGTTTCATGACAAATCATTTTTTGATCCACAGAGGAAGAATCTTTAATCTTGGCTGAAAAATAAAAAGGCCGAATACATCCACTGGGATGTACCCTTTAAAAATATAGGCTGGTACTTTTTATTATTTAGTTAATTGTTCATATGAGCTGTGGGCCACAAACTGATTAGTGTTGGAGCTTTCATGAATATTAATACTGATTATGCCAGACATTTATTATACTAGCATGCTCACTTAAAGGGAAACTACTTTGAGTTAATTGAGGTTGACTTTAAGTTCCCACAGACCATTTATAGTAGTCAGCATTTTATCACTGTAATAAGTACCTGAGAAAAGCTATCTATGAAAAGAGGTTTATTTAAGCTACGCTCATGGGTGTGTAGGTTCACAGCTCGATGTAGGGCAGCTCCCCTGTCTGACATATAAAATGACTGGTGGAGCAACTACAGGTAGGATAGCATTGTGAGACAGAAAGCCAAATGTAGCTGGACCAACCCTGGCTTTACACCAACGCTTGGAACAGTGACCTTCTGGGATGCAGCCCCAATGACCTCCTGCCAAACCCTTCTCCTGAGATCTTTATTTGGCTCCACTCTCTCCTGATAGCACCATAGGGCCACACCTTGAACCCATCAGTCTTTGCAGGACATCGGAGCAAATAACAAAACTAGCAGCACTAAGGACCTTATTTCTGTGGAGCTACATACTGTACAACTGGTTGAAAGATTGAGTTCAGGTGCTGTCAGATAGCCTTATGTACCTAATTTACAAACAGACTTATGAAGTACATTATTATTTAAGATTGAGAAGGAAAGCTCTCCATGTTAAGAATGGCATTTTCTTTTTTTTAATTAATTTTCTTGGAAAGGCAAACTAACAGAGAGGAGTGATCATTAAAGATCTTCCATTCACTGGTTCACTCCCCAAGTGGCCACAGCGACCAGAGCTGAGTTGATCCAAAGCCAGGAGCTTCTTCTGCATCTCCCACACAGTTGCAGGGTCCCAAAGCCTTGGGCTATTCTCCACTGTTTTCCCAGGCCACAAACAAGGAGCTGGGAGGGAAATGGAGCACCCAGGACACAAACTGGCCACACATGTGTTATCCCAGTGTGTGTAAGGTGAGGATTTATCTACCGGGCTATCACATTGGGCTGAGAATGGCATTTTGTGATTATTTAACCTTATTTCTTTATTTAGTTTACATACATAATCTGACCAAGTTAACCCTTAAATATGCGTTGCCCAAAAGAAAAAAGAAATAGTTTCCAAATATATAAGGTGTTCCTAGGCTCTCAGGCTGCTTAAGATTTGTTGTCTTGGTCAGATAGACTCTTGGTAGTGTAATGTCAAAATGGCAGCTTCATCCTATAAGGTAACTTCTTGTTCTGCTGAGTCATTCATAGTCCAGCCTAAGATTTGGATTAGTTGTCTTACATAGAAACAGAGCCCAGAAAAGAAGGATTAGTCCAAGTTAAAAATTCCCTCTGGAAAGGAAAATGTGAAATGAGTGTTCTTAAAATGAGTTGTAAATGGCAAAGTGGATTTCATAATTTGCACACTTTTCCTTTCAGGTTATGCATTGGACCCTTCATTAGATAATCATCAAGTGACTACCAAGTATATTGGTTCTGTAGAAGAAGCTGAAAAAAATCAAGGTAATTCATTTGAAATATTTAATGTCAAACACTTACAATCCTGTAAGTATTTCATAGCAATAGTAGGAAAACCTAGTTAGCTCTTGATTTATTGTCATTTTATTTTTGTTTAATTATTTGACAGAGGCAGGTTTGAGAGAACATGCTCCCGTGCTCAGGTTCACTCCCCAAATGCCCACCACAACAGAACCTGGGCAAGCCAGTATCTACATGGGCAGCACAGACTCAGCCGTCAGCATTACCTCCTAGGGCCTGCTTTAAGAGGAAGCGTTAAGAGTCAGGTGCCAGAATTGAGTGTTGAACTAAGTATTCCAGCGTGGAATGCAGGGGGGATCCTAACCAGCATCTTAACTAGTAGACTAAATGCCCACATCTTGTTATTGTTGTTTTTTTTAGTTGAGACAATATAGTTTAGAACAATACAGTTTATACATAATCTGAAGCTTAGTTTTGACACTTAATACCTGTGCAACCTAATAATGAAAATGTTGGTGTTACCTACAAAAGTGTATCATGGAAAATAATATAGTAGTAATAAACTTAAAAAGAAACACATAACACACAAAAAAGTAAGAAAATAGTGATATGTATCTTTTTTGATTGTTTTGTTTGCTCACCATTGTGCCAGCCCTTTAGAAGTCATCCAATAATCATAGTTAATGTATGGTAAAATTTGACAGGTGACTTCTCAACACCATTGTCAAGCTGCATCTTAACCTAATTGAAAATTGTCATTGTGCTTCTCCTTGAAGATTCTCTTTGAAGAGCTGCTTTGAAAACTGCGTTTAAATATGAGATGTAAAAAGAAGCTTATGTTTTTACTCATTTTGGCCTACTATAACAAGATAAAGCACTATAGTGTGAATGGTAACTTGTCACATAAAATCCATAAAATGCTGTCTTAGAAAAATGCAGCATTATCACAGAACCCTTACAACTTCATGCTAGTAGACCCTGGCATCATCAAGCTGCCTTCTGAGTCTGATCTAGATTATTGTTAGAACAGGATTTAAACAAGCTTTTGTTATAACACATAGCCTAAAGGAGACTGATTTCAATTATATAGTAATATAGTTATACTTTTTTTTAAGCTAAGCCACTGGAAATCATGTTCATATGTAGCTGATTTTTAGTTAATTTTTAACTGTGCCGCTTAAAAAACCTTTGTTTTTACCAATTTTAATGACTCATAGCATACCTTCTCCTACTAACCAAATCATAGTCTCAGCCAGAAACATCCACCTTGCTGGTTTCTATTTAACTGTTAAAATTGATGATGTTAGAGGTCAAGTGTAAATTAGAATCAGTTGGAACAAATACCAGATTCCTATGGAAGCTTTTTAAATTTATGTTGTTGCTTTCCTAGTGAGGTATAATTTAGTTTTTAAATGATAAATTACAGTTTATTCTTGCTTTCAAAGGTAGCTTTATCACAGCTTAGCAATACTGAGTTTCTGGATTTCTTTCAAAAATTGGCAAAAATCCACTGATACAGTTTTTGGATTCATTAAAATGTTTGCACCATTATAGAATAGCATATCTTTTCATTAAGTTTATTAGGACGTGTAATTTTTTTTTTTTTTTTTTTTTTTTTAATAAATTTTATTTTGACATTCTTTACATAGTTAATTAGGGTAAGAAGGTTCAAGGGCTACAGGAAAGTGGATAATACTAATATGTTTTCCATATTGTTACCTTCATGTTTAAAAGGGGGGTATTAAGGGAGAAGGCCGACCCAATTTCCCACCCTCCCCAAGTCCCGGGTGTAGGGCATGCTCTGAGGTTCTTGCTCAAGTGGTTTTGATATTGCAACAGTTATGAATCGCTGTCAATCTTGCCGCTCCAAGCACTATGAGGTCTTTGAAAAATCCACTGATTGACATAGTCCATCATAGCTTAGATGGTTGGTTGACCCGTTCTGTCTTCTCTCTTTTCTTTGTTATGGTTCTGAGTCCAGCATTTAGATTAGGAAGATCTCCAAAGAAACTTCTTGTATGTGCTAACAAGTACAGGGCCTGGCACCGTCCATCGCTCCAATCAGCTGGTGGTTGCAATTCCTGGGTTGGTTCTGTTTTCACTCCCGTCTTCCACTGGAGCCAATGGGTGTTGCAGTCCAGTCTGGTTCTGCCCAGCACATACTTGGCCCTCACATAAACCAGTGGGAGCTGTAGCCTAGGTTGGAGCGACCCACAATAACCCCAACCAGGCCCACCCCCTACCCTGGTTTGCCAGTAAGTGTAGCAGTAATCCAGTCTGTCCCACATCCCATTCCACCCCAGCCGCTGTCTTAGTTTTATGTCCTCCCGTGGAAGTGGTAACCCAAGAGGGATGAGCCCACTATTTCCCTCCCAAACCTCTCCCACTCCCAGATTCCAGTTGATGCTGCCCAAACAAACCTCGCCCACTTTAATTTTGTTTGCACCAGTAGGAATAATCCGCCCAGCCTGGCTTTTCCCTGATCTAGTCCACATGAGGCGCACAGGTGTGGTAGCTCTGCCTAGTCTGGTCTGCCCCATCCCAGCCCATGCTCTCCTGCGGAAGTAGCTGTCCAGCAAAGGAACCCTCCCTTATTCCCCTGCCAGCTCTGCCCACTTCCTTGCTTGTTCTCAGGCTGGTTGGGCGCTGCGGTCCCTTCTGGTACAGGCAACCTCACCTCGGCATTCCATAATGTGCACTAGTCTTTGTTGCGACCGACCCTGGGTCGACCCACACTGGTGCCTGGATTTGCCAGTGGATGATGTGGACAGATTCAGCCTGGTCTTGCCCCCACGTCTGCCAACTGTATGCCAGTGGGTAGGTTTCCATGGCCTTTTCTGGGCTGTTTCCTATCATGTTTCTTGCGTTTACCTGCTGGGTCTGTGTCCTGCCAGAGGAGTTGCCCAGGCTCCTCCATCAGAACCTCTCCCAATGCCAGGTTTCACGCTTACCAGTGGGTCCATGAGCCAGCCCTACTCAGTCCACCTCCTGTCATAGCAGGAACTGTGGCTTTTCCTGACTGGCCTTCAACCCAATCTGGTTCTTGCTGTTGGATGTTCCAGCCCAGCCATGGTTTGTCCATACCCACGTATGGCTCACACATGGCTCAGTAGGGGTTTGAGACCCTGCCTAGTCCATCCCACATCTGCCCTGGTCCTCCAGAACACCAGGGGGAGTCGGGGTCCGGCCCAGTTCGGTGCATCCAATCCAGTCCACACTTGTGCCAAGGGAGACTACAACTGTTTCCAGATCAGAACGCAGCCCCCTTCCAGGCCACGCGCCTCTTGGTGGGAACCTCAGCCCAGCTAGGGTTGTCCCCTTTGCTCCCCAACCGGGTCCGTTCCCAGGCATAGATCACATGCCTGCCAATGGATGCTCTGACTCAGCTTGGCACAACCCCTCCCCTGTCCCGAACTCTGCCTTAGACACTGTGGCTTAGCGTCCCAGGCTCCCACAGACCAGCAGGTACAAGAGCCTAGCTCGGCATGACCTCTGCTCCCTCCTGGTTTCTAGTTTTACTTGTGGGCTAAGGTTTGCTCAGTCGTGCCTAATCTACTCTGTTCCATTACCAGTTGACACATTGGCCAACTGTTGGAGCTACTTGTGCAGGGCAAGCCCCAAGCCATAGCTTCTGCATGACTGGTATTTGGTGCTCAGAATTATTAGTGATTACAAGTTTTGCTAAGGAAGAGTTACTGCCTCTTTCAGGTCCAAGAAGCACAATGGGTTCAACCTGGAGCTAATTAAGCAGCAACTCAAAGAACCAAATCCCCAGAGCTCACCAGCCGGGCGGCCAGCAGGCGGAGCCTGGCACCAATGGCGCACTGGCCGCCCGGGGAGGACGGCTCACCATGTGCCCATGGTGGCCGTCCGGGATCCAGGCATGAGACGCCCCGTCCTGAGACCCACCAGCTGCCAGGAGGCAGCTGGAGGTTTAAATAACCCAGGCCCAAGGTCGCGCCCCTCCCAAATCCCATTCACCGCCCCATGAAGGCGGCGGGTGGGCCCCGGACCTGCCCAGTCCCGGAGGCCTCCCCCCTCGGTCTACTCACCCCGAAGGAAGCGGCCCCCGAAACCCAGCAGGCCGGGGAGGACGGCTCACCATGTGCCCATGGCGGCCGTCCGGGATCCAGGCATGAGACGCCCCGTCCTGAGACCCACCAGCTGCCAGGATGCAGCTGGAGGTTTAAATAACCCAGGCCCAAGGTCGCGCCCCTCCCAAATCCCATTCACCGCCCCATGAAGGCGGCGGGTGGGCCCCGGACCTGCCCAGTCCCGGAGGCCTCCCCCCTCGGTCTACTCACCCCGAAGGAAGCGGCCCCCGAAACCCAGCAGGCCCGGGGAGGACGGCTCACCATGTGCCCATGGCGGCCGTCCGGGATCCAGGCATGAGACGCCCCGTCCTGAGACCCACCAGCTGCCAGGAGGCAGCTGGAGGTTTAAATAACCCAGGCCCAAGGTCGCGCCCCTCCCAAATCCCATTCACCGCCCCATGAAGGCGGCGGGTGGGCCCCGGACCTGCCCAGTCCCGGAGGCCTCCCCCCCTCGGTCTACTCACCCCGAAGGAAGCGGCCCCCGAAACCCAGCAGGCCGGGGAGGACGGCTCACCATGTGCCCATGGCGGCCGTCCGGGATCCAGGCATGAGACGCCCCGTCCTGAGACCCACCAGCTGCCAGGAGGCAGCTGGAGGTTTAAATAACCCAGGCCCAAGGTCGCGCCCCTCCCAAATCCCATTCACCGCCCCATGAAGGCGGCGGGTGGGCCCCGGACCTGCCCAGTCCCGGAGGCCTCCCCCCCTCGGTCTACTCACCCCGAAGGAAGCGGCCCCCGAAACCCAGCAGGCCCGGGGAGGACGGCTCACCATGTGCCCATGGCGGCCGTCCGGGATCCAGGCATGAGACGCCCCGTCCTGAGACCCACCAGCTGCCAGGAGGCAGCTGGAGGTTTAAATAACCCAGGCCCAAGGTCGCGCCCCTCCCAAATCCCATTCACCGCCCCATGAAGGCGGCGGGTGGGCCCCGGACCTGCCCAGTCCCGGAGGCCTCCCCCCCTCGGTCTACTCACCCCGAAGGAAGCGGCCCCCGAAACCCAGCAGGCCCGGGGAGGACGGCTCACCATGTGCCCATGGCGGCCGTCCGGGATCCAGGCATGAGACGCCCCGTCCTGAGACCCACCAGCTGCCAGGAGGCAGCTGGAGGTTTAAATAACCCAGGCCCAAGGTCGCGCCCCTCCCAAATCCCATTCACCGCCCCATGAAGGCGGCGGGTGGGCCCCGGACCTGCCCAGTCCCGGAGGCCTCCCCCCCTCGGTCTACTCACCCCGAAGGAAGCGGCCCCGAAACCCAGCAGGCCCGGGGAGGACGGCTCACCATGTGCCCATGGCGGCCGTCCGGGATCCAGGCATGAGACGCCCCGTCCTGAGACCCACCAGCTGCCAGGATGCAGCTGGAGGTTTAAATAACCCAGGCCCAAGGTCGCGCCCCTCCCAAATCCCATTCACCGCCCCATGAAGGCGGCGGGGGGCCCCGGACCTGCCCAGTCCCGGAGGCCTCCCCCCCTCGGTCTACTCACCCCGAAGGAAGCGGCCCCCGAAACCCAGCAGGCCCGGGGAGGACGGCTCACCATGTGCCCATGGCGGCCGTCCGGGATCCAGGCATGAGACGCCCCGTCCTGAGACCCACCAGGACGTGTAATTTTGCAGTGATGGAAAGCTTCTCTTCTCAGAAGGGGAGTCTCTTTCTCTTTTTTTTTTTTTTTTTTTTTTTGTAGCCTGAGCTGGACTTTGTGGCTGAATTGGAAGGTTTTGTTTGTTTTTATGCTTTAAGTAACTCTGGTCACTTGAAGACCACTTTTCTTTTTTTAACCATATAAACTATATATGCTGATATTTTTCTAGAAATATACCCACTTGTGCTGTTTTGTTGTCAATGTAGGTTTAACTGTGTTTGAAACTGGTCAGAAGAAAACAGAAAAAAGGAAAAAGTTCAAAGAAAACGATGCATCTAATATTGATGGTTTCTTGGGACCATGGGCAAAATATGTGGATGAAAAAGATGTTGCCAAACCCTCAGAGGTACGCTTTTATATGTTTCTTTGCCAAATAAGCTCTATGCAGTATCTCTTCGAAGGGTATGTACATTAATAAACTTGATATTTCTGTGGAAAACCAAATGACTCATCAAAATGTCTCTACCCTGACATGATAGACTGAGAAAACACAGCAACATTCTTTATTCTCCTTTGGGATCTTATTTACCTTCTCTGATTTATTTTCTTTGGGACTATAACACATTAAAATAGAATATAATACCTTGATAATGCTCTTCAGCTTCCAGCATTCAGATAGTAACATAAGAAACAGTCTTTCTCTTAAACTGATCTTGACAGTGAGTTTATTTGCTAATTAAATTTTTGGCAAGTTGTAGCTATACATATATATATATTTTTAAATTTTTTATGTGAAAGGCAGTGTTACAGAGAGAAAGAGATTTTCCATCCATTGGTTCACTCCCCAAATGGCCACAGTGGCCAGAATCTGGACCTGTCTGCAGTCAGGAGCCCAAAAGCTTCTTCCAGGTCTCCCATGTGGATGCAGGAGCCCAAGCACATAAGCCAACCTCTGCTGCTTTCCCAGGGCTTGAACAGGAAGCTGGAGTGGAAGTGAAGCAGCCGGGACACAATCTAGTAGCCATATGAAATGCTGGCATTGCAGGCAGAGGCTTAGCTTACTGTGCCACTTCAAGGTCCCTATGTCCCCAGCTCTGCTCTGTCCATTGTGAGCATGTGGAAAATTAACAATGGGTGGAAAATCTATCTCTGTGTCTCTTTCTCTCTCCCTCTGTATCTCTTCTGTTCACCAACTCTGCTTTTCAAATAAAAATAGTAAATCTTTAAAAAAAAAAAAGGAAAATAATACTTCTAGTTTATAAAATCAAATTACAGAGGTTTCCCGTTTCCTTTCCCACCTATGTAATCACACTCTGAGCCAGCTGTCCTTCCTTCTGTGTCCCAGGAATGCAGCCATGGACAAGAGGAAGAGAATCCTAGTCTCTTGAGGCTAGCAGTCTAGCTGTGACTTACAGCTGTATGTCTTTATATGCATGTGCTGCTTTATATACTTATATTTAGAACTCATCGTTTGACATATTATATAAATTTAATACATAATACCCATCTTTGCATTTTCTAAAAAACAAAAAATAGTTCTGTCACAAACTTTCAGACTGGCTATGTAAAAGCCACTTACTGAAGAACAGAACTGAGTGCTAAAATTCAGTTTCCTTTCTGGTACTAGATTTTTTACTTGCCTAGTCCTTCCATTTGGATCATTAGCATAATGTGTTTATTTTCAGAAGGTTCCGGTATCCTTTTCTGCGTGTTTAACTCCACTTGTAAATGGTAGCAGAGGCCAGCAACCTCTGTAGAACACTTGAGCTTGTTACCCTTGAAGATACACTTGCGGTATTGCTTCACCCAACTGTGGAGCTCATTATTAAGAATTTATAACCAACTTCGGGCATGATAGAGTTCTCAGACAATCATGTTACAGTTCACTCCTTAATTACCTTAGGAAGAGCAGAAGGAGTTGGATGAAATCACAGCAAAGAGGCAGAAAAAAGGCAAGCAGGAGGATGAGAAACCCGGGGAGGAGAAGACAATCTTGCACGGTAATGTGTTTCCCCTTTCTCCGTCTTCATGGAGGTGTTCATGTTTATCCTGTTCTCTGTTCGTATATCAGCTGCCCTTGCTGTCAGCTGCTGTAACATCATTAGACTAACAATAATTGTGTCAGACACTTTACATCCCATAGAAATTAGAGCAGTCTTCCGTGTATACGAAAGGAGAGAAAATGTGATGAGTAGTGATAACCAAAGATAACTGTGGGAGCTATTAATGTGTTCTAAAAAATGGTTGATAAAGAAGAATTTGAATAATATGCAGTCTACTCCTTCCTAAGATAAAATTGTCTCCTTTTGGTGTATTAACGGTGACCCAATCATAGCAGTTGTTTTTAACACAAGCCAAATATTCAAGTATCTTTTAATTCATAGCTGTTACTAAAGTGTAAGAATAAATTTAGGAGCTGGCATTTGGCACAGTGGTTAACAATGCTGTTTGATAGGCCAGCACTTTGGCATGGCAAGTTAAGCTCCCACCTGCAGTGCCAGGATCCTACAGGGGGAGCCAGTTTGAAACCAGTTTGAGACCTCTACTTCTGATCCAGCTCCCTGCTAATGTACCTAGGAAAGCAGCAGAAAATGATGAAAGTGCTTGGGTCTTTATACCCATGTAGGACACCCAGAAGAAGCTCCTCTTGGCTTTAGCCTGGCCCAGCTGAAAGTAAAATAAATCTTATTTTTTAAAAAAAGGTGCTGCTTGGTACAGCCACAAGCCAGATCGGAATGCCTGGGATTAAATCCTGGCTTTGCCCCTGATTGCAGCTTCTTAGTAACATGTACCCTGGAAGGCAGCAGGTGATGGCTCAATGTTTCAGTCCCTGCCACCTGCGTGGGAGTCCCAGAAAGAGTTCCAGACTCCTGGTTTTCACCTAGCCTATTCCAGCTGTTGTGGCCGTTTGGAGAAGTGAAGCAGCAATTGGGGGGTGTTTGTGTGTGTATTTTGTAAGTTCCCAGTATAATAATTATAAAGTTAAAAATTTTTAAAGGTGGTTTTTCATGCAAATAGATTAGTAATTAGCGTGTTTATGCTTATTTTGGGTCGTGGAAGGAAATGCGTATTAACCAAAATAAGTTATAAATATTCTAGACTATTCTTGTTTGTTAATGATTGGTTATGTTTGGAAATTATGTAGTTATCTGAAACTGTAAAGACTAGTGTAGCACTAATAATGTTTATTATCAAGATATTATACAGTGTCAAATATTTAGGATTGATGAGGCTGAATTTGGTTTTGTAAGTTCTAGTTTTACTCCGAAGAATTTCCAGTGCTGTGGTGTTTGTAACCATAACAGTAACAGCCAACCTTTATTGATTATTTACTCTACCATGCATGCTGCTAAGTGCTTAACTATACTGCCATTCAATTCCTACAAATGATTATTGTAAACCTTGTGGTGAAAATAGGAAGAGGAATAAAAAGAACCAGAATAAGAAAGAGGGAGAAAGAAGGGAGAACGATTGTTGTTGTTTTTTGTTTTAACTCCCTTCTTACCCTGTTTTGCTTCTGATTCTTTATCTTTTCTTCTTATGCTATAATTATACTACAGTGAAGTTTTTGAATCTTTTAATCATTAAAATGTGTGAGTAGAAATAGTATAGCTCAGATCTAAAGGTCTGATACTTGCTGGGGACCTAGGAATTCAAAAATGCTACCTATCCTTGTAACGGTAGTAGTGGTTTCAGGCCAAAGGTTTAGCTATATCTTGATGTTAACATCACCAGGGTAGTACTGCCATACATTCAATATCTGTTGCCATTTTGAGAATGTCGGTTTCAAGGCTCTGGCTTGTCCTTGTTCACATGCTAACCTTTGCTCTCTGGTTTCAGTTAAGGAAATGTACGACTATCAAGGCAGATCCTATCTTCACATACCTCAGGATGTTGGTGTAAATCTGCGGTCAAGTGTGCCACCCGAGAAGTGTTATCTTCCAAAGAAGCAGATTCATGTATGGTCTGGACACACAAAGGTAGGCAAGTTGGTTGCTTGATTGCTGTCATATCACCAAAGTGACATTTATGTGAAATTTCAGCTATTGGTATGGAAAATTCTGGTGAAAATGCAGACAAGTTAAGACAGAGTGGAGAAATCAACTTGATGATAGATCTGTGTTAAGCTGTGGGAGTACGCACGCATCATAGTCACAAGGAACTAACTGTTCTTCAGGGCCATCTGTCTTGGCCATGATGGAAGCATTCGTGATGTGGTTTCCTGCCCACTTTACATTAGCCCAGTCCTTTCTGCACTATTACTTACTCTACTGTCTGCTGGGCAGCAAGTCAGTGGGTAATGCACCGATACTAGCACCAAGTCTGCTGCTTAGGTTCATTCAGTTTGCATTAACTCTTGGAGTAGTCACATTTCACAGATGATATTCTCCCCAGTGTATAAACTATGGTGTGTGCAAGGGACAGCATACAGCAAAGCTTTGCATGTTGATATTCTGCATCTGCACTATCATAACTGACCATTTCCAGCTCTTTGCAAAGAACAAAGGGACTAAGCAAACAAAGGCAAAGTAGGGGAGAGGGGATTAACAGTTTGTTTGACTCATAATTCTCTTGGGTGAGGAAGTCAATGTGAAAGGTTGAAAAAAGAAAATCTTGTGAAGCTTAGTGTCAAGAAAGCCTACTGTGGGAATACTAATGAGGGCTATTCTGGGGCACGCATGATTTTTGGATAGCAACTTACAGTGTTTTATCTGTGCTGTCTTGTTTGTTTCATTTTCGCTGATGTTTAGAATGTTTCTGATAACTGTAACACCTTTTTAATAGGGCGTCAGTGCAGTCAGATTGTTTCCTCTCTCGGGCCATTTGTTGTTGTCTTGCTCCATGGACTGTAAAATTAAGGTGAGCTTTCTGTAGCAATAAGAGTGTCATAAATCTGTCGGATTGGTTAAGATCTGTTTGCTTAATTAGAAATAAATTTGGGTTTGTTAGGCAATTAGAGACTAATTATTTTCTTGTAGGCCTAATGAATATAACAATTTATGAATGGATTCCAAACACATACATTCAAATATGGCTATGTGGTCCAATTGGCTCTTTCCTTTCTAAAGCTAAGACTACTGATTAGGTGGTAACCCAGGCCCTTTGGGGTTAGGCACATAAATATTTAATCCCCGATATTGCATTTCTAATAGAGGTTTGGGATTTGTAACAGTTTATTTGTCCCTCAGAACCTTCTGAGGTAGAGAGGCCGTGTGATAGAAAGCCCATTTTTAAAGAATAAGCAATGTAGTTCATTCTTTTTCTTCTGCATGTCAGTAGACATCGAGTAGCAGAAATGCCCCAGGACCTTGTCCTGTTTTCTTTGATCCTGGGAAGCCCCTGACTCGGACCCTGGTCAGCTGCAGAGTGTGTGGTGGCCAGTGGCTGTCAGCTTGGGTATGACAAAAGCTGTGAGGAGCATCTGAAATTGCTAAGGCTGATTCTTACCTGTTTTGTGTAATCTAAGTCTAGATCATTATGATAGTTCAGTAAATACCAATCCTGTGGTAGTCCTGGGGCTTGAGAAGTTGAATCATTAAAGTTTTATCTTTTATAAATACTTGACATATATTAGCAATATATAAAAACAGCTTTTGTTGAACACGACCATTTAGGCAACTGTCTCTAATCCTTTAAATCAGAATTTGAAGTAAAAAGTTCTTATTCCCTTTTACTTTATACTGTTGAAAATATGGTCTTCTCTTTGACTAGCTAAAAACACATCAAATTCAAGTTTAATTCATTTCTGTAAAGATGTATTAAATACACATTATATATGAGCTGAGAATAAAAATATTATTAAGGCACTGTCCCTCCTCTTAGGGTTCATTATGATGTTTATGGTCATTATAAGGGCATGTAGATGCTCTTCTGATTTCAAAGAAGGAGTATACCTCAGTGGGAGCCTTAATAAAGTAAAAGGGACATAAATGAAGTGCTTTTGAGGTGAGGGAATGGAATGAATCAGCACGACGTATGCTGGAAACTAATACTTATGTGGTTGTTGGAGTGTAAAATCAGGCAGAAAATGATTACTACAGTCCCCAGACAGGGGAGCGGATCTCAGAGGTCCTTGCCCAGCTTGTTACTGGAATGGAGATGATCTTGTTGATGCTGAGTGCCCAGGAAATGCTTTCTATTTTTAGAGAACAAAATTTTCATTGCTATTAAGGACTGGATTGGAGGCTGGCAAGAATTGTGCTAGTATCCAACTCCCGGATAATTTACCAAAAAAAAAAAAATATTGTACTAGTTTTGAAGCTGTTGTGTTCATTCACTTAGGTACAATGAGAATCACAAGCCTCTTATTTCCATCTAGATCATTATTTTAATGTAACTTTTATGTGTTCCCTCAGAAAAAGTCAGACTTTCAGTATCAAAATGTAATGTGTTGCAGTAACTTTACATCATGGAAACATACATAGAAAATCATAAGAGTATGAAAAGCACCTGAATTTGCTCCATTCATGGTTAAGTCCTTTTGATACATGGATATGAATATCTTTGCATCATTTGGATATGAAGCTCTTTAAAATTCTTTCAGTTTAAAGCGAGCTGTGTGCCTGTATGTGTGTTCCAAACAGTACGGTACAAACTGATAGTGCCATCCAGTATTTACTGATTAAATCCCTTGTGCTCACACAGACTGTTGCACACACATAGGCAGCATTTAACTGTTGCTACTAACTGAAAAACCTTTACTAAATTTAACATTTCCTTGTGTGTGTGTTGTTTCTTTTCTTCCTCAGCTGTGGGAGGTTTATGGAGACCGCCGCTGTCTGCGAACATTTATTGGTAATATTTTTCTCTCTCCATGTATAAATCTTTTGGGGAAGGCTTGTTAGAAGTACAGTAACACCATTGGCAGTAATTGGCTACACTCATGTAAAGGAGAGTCCTCACGGATTGTAGTTGAGTCTGAAAGGAGAACTAAGCTTCCCCACATAGACAAATAAGTGGGAAGTAAAAAGCAGAAGCCTGTCGGATGGCTTTAGGATGGGCAGAGGCAAAAATGGAAAAAGCCGTTGTAGGAAACCAGAGTATGAAGGGCCTTGCTTGTGTAACAGTAATCAGGAGTTGAGGCTCCATCCTAGAAGCACTGACAAGCCATTCAACAGCCCCCTACAGGAAAGCAACTTGACTTGGTGTTTGCAAAGATCACCTGGTAGTAGGGAAGCTCTCTGGTAGGGCAAGCCTGTGGGAAGGAAAATGAATTCATTAAACAGCCCCAATATTCCAGTGGCCAAGACAGCAGAGATAGAGAAGAAAGCAACTACTAAGTGTTAAAGTCAATGTGATGAATATGGACTGTGAGTGAGAGGAATGTGGCAGAAATCTAGGGTGACACCCAGGTGGCTAGCTGTAGAATGACACAATCCACCGAAAGGGAACCTGCTCTTTCGTTACAGGAATTGGAATTGCCTTTGGAATATGCAGGTGAGAATGTCCAGTAAGCAGTTAGATAGGCAGATGTTGGTGCTGATTACTGGTAGTGGAAGTCAAGAAGCGTAAGCCTAAGAGAACACCTGGAAGAAGAGACAGTGGCCAAAGGAGGGCTGCTTTGCCACATGTAGCCTTTGTGAGAGGTGTGCCATCTGTCCAATTCCATGTGAAGGCTCCTTACACACTGCAAACGTGAGCTGTACCACATTCACATTCTGCGTGGGTTTCAGTGTTTTTAGATTAGTGTAGGAGTCTTTTCTGAGTGCTGTGTTATGATTATGGGGCTGCAGTGCATAAAATAAAACCTGCCCAAGGTGCCACAGCAGCCTAGGGAAGATTGGCAGAAGCTTCTAGCAGCTGCAGTGGATTTGGTGCTCTTCTGTTGCCATGTAATAGAAATTTCTCAGTAGAGCAGGAAAATAAGAGAAGCGCTAATTAGGACTCCTGCAGTAGAAAAGAATGCCTGATTGCCACAGCATATATCCCCTGACTTGAGTTCATCTGTGATGGTGGTCATGGCGGCGGTGATGGTCGCTCCAGGCTGGTGTGCGGGGTTTAGAAGTTATGCAGTACACATTTCACAGAACTGTATGTATCTCGAATATGATGGGAATGATTTTTTAAAATGGGAAAATTTCCTCTGTTGTTTAGCCATGTTTTATTTGTATAAATCTACATGACAGACTTTCAAGTAAAATATAATCACTTCCTTTGAATTAGTTTATTATCAAACAAAATAGATGCTGAGACACTTTCCAGAAACACTGTCTCCAAGATTCTGAATCAGTTTCTAGGGAATGTGGTTTGTGGCCACAGAAGTATATAATTATTGTACATGGGCTACAATTTCCAAAGCTTGAGGTTAAGTCACTTTTTCACTTCCATCCTGGTGAGTGGTCTCAGAATGAACCTCCAGAATTCTAGTAGTCATTTCTTTCATTGGCAGTAATTGGTTAGTCATCAGTTATGTGCTACATTTTAAGAGTTTGCCATGGCAAACTAAAAATAATAATAATAATAATTAGACCTTTTGTCTTGGTTCTTACCAAAGCATTATGCATCCGAATCACCAGAGGAGCTTCTTGAAAGGAAAAAAACACCCACGTTCCAAGGCCCACACATAGTGGGTTTGAAGTCAGTAGTACAGGCTCTGGGCCTCCACTGCTCGTGACTCACAGCTGATTTAGCAACCACTCTTGAACGCTGTTGCTCTGTGTGGTATTTGTGTTCTAAGAACAGGTGAAAGCCTTCACTCACCGCCCTTCCTGTTGGCTCTCCCCGCAGGGCACAGTAAGGCTGTGAGGGACATCTGCTTCAATACTGCAGGGACACAGTTCCTCAGCGCAGCCTATGACAGGTATCTGAAGCTCTGGGACACGGAGACGGGTAAGAGCTCCCTTTACACAGCACTAATGCCTGCTTATCTTAACGTGGCATCCACACCTGCAGTCATGGGGTGGGCTGCAAGGTGAGGCCTCCTACAGTTGCAGATGCTCCCACTGTTGGCTGTCAGTTCCTATCACAAAATGTAGTGGTATATTAAGAAACTCAGTTATGCTTTGTTTTGGCCACATACCATTCATAATGCAAATTTTTTTTTAATCTTCTCTAGTCATCTAATTTATCTTTTTGTTCCCCTATATTACCTGGCACAGTGTGTTACATTTATAGAAACACAATGAATGTCACAAGAACAAAATTAAATTTAATTGGTCAAATAGATTAAAATGTCAATGTAAATTCCTGTGGGCCCATTGGTTTATGTATTTGCATCCATAATAATTGCAACCATATGTTGTGGCTTTTAAAATTCTATGTAATTATAAAGCTGTCTTTTAAGTGTAGTAATAATAGCTAGCATTTATTAATACTTAGTGCTTATGTTACATGATGCTAAGTGTTAATATGTAATGTTTCATTCAGTTGTTTGTTTGTTCAGAGAGAAGATTCACCTGTATTACTTGTTTCCTTCCCAAATGTCCGCAACAGCCCCTAGCTGGGCACAAAGGCAATTGCCTAGAACTCAGTCACTTAGGCTACCCAAACCGCATCAGTAGGAAGCTGGAGTTAGGAGAAGGAGCTGGATATCAAATCCAGATCTTCCAACAATGCAATGTGAGAGTGTAAGCCACAAGGCCAGGCACCTGCCCTTCAATTCTAATATACTTCAATGAAAGCACTATGAGTACGGTACAGATGAAGAAACTGAGTCTTAAATAAGTAACTTTTCTAGAGTCACATAGTAAGTGACAGTGTTGGTATCAAACCAAGTTTTCAAACTATATATATATATAGTTTATATAAATAGGCATATATATATATATTATATGCTTGCATTCACTATTCACTACATTGTTGATGCTAGGAACTGAACCTAAGACCTAGTCTTAGAATTGTTGATATAACTTAAAATTCTGCTTTATGTTTATCTAATACTGAAAGTTGCCCTGTATCTTCACCCTTGCACAGATGTTTCCCTGATAGCATGATTAAATACTTTGGTTCATTTTGCTTATCTTGTAGCAAGTATAAAATATATAAAGTTCATAAATATTCAGTAAAAGTTATATATAGTAATCATTTGTATGCAGCTGTTTCCCACAAAGGTCAACATACAGAATATTTCCAGTACTTCATATGAGTTTCTTAGATGCTTTTCCTGTCTGTACCCACTCCTGGTAACCAGAACCACGTCTGACATCATGAAGTCATCATGAATTCATTTTGCCTGTTCCTAAACTTCCTGTGAATGCAATCACCCTTATAATCTCTCCTGTGGCTTAGATCAGTAGTTTGTGTTTTATTGCTTGCAGGATTTCATTGTGTAAGTGGAAATGTGACTGATCTCTTCTACAGTTAGAATAATTATTTTTAATTATTAAAAATTTGGAGAAAAAAAACAGTGTAGTTTATAATAATGAGAAGGCAATCATAATTGGAGCAAACTGACTTTCCTCCAAATCAGTTAAGCAAATGACCTCTAGGTCTTAATCCCACAGTCTTTGTTAAATGGTCAAGTTTATTTTTATCTATTTAATTTGAATCTTTGGTTTTAGGACAGTGTATATCAAGATTTACAAACCGAAAAGTACCCTATTGTGTCAAATTCAATCCTGATGAGGATAAGCAAAATCTCTTTGTGGCTGGGATGTCTGATAAAAAGATTGTGCAAGTAAGTATCTTTACTGTATTTTACTAAAATTTCAGGACTTCACTGTGTCGGGGGATGCAATAAGGAACACTGAGGGACTGCTGGTGCTGTGTGCTTGGTGAAAAGCATTGGCATCCATAAAAGCATGATGGGACCTTCTCCCTGTCCTCATCCCAGAATGTGTGGATCTGCTCGATAGCTGCCTTTACCTTTGTGCTTGTCTGATTTACAGTGGGACATCCGAAGTGGAGAAATTGTGCAGGAGTATGATCGGCATTTGGGGGCTGTCAACACCATTGTTTTCGTTGATGAAAATAGGAGATTTGTTAGTACCTCTGATGATAAGAGCCTCCGAGTTTGGGAATGGTGAGTTTCCATCAGGAGAAAAACTGACTTTTTATAAAACAAGTGGTTTAAAAGTTTGTAGCTAAGGCAAAACTGGTCATCAGTGTTCAAATCAAATCTCGAATATTTTTGCAACTGTGGTCCACTCGATCAGTTTTAACAATTTAAGCAGGGACTAGCATTGTGACGTAGACTATAAAAACCTAAGCTTGCAACATAGGCATCCCACATGGATGTCAGTTTGTTTCCTGGCTTCTCTTTTTCTCTCTCTCTCTAACTTGGACTCTTAAATAATGAATCTTTTTTAAAAAGCAGTTTAACTACATACAGAAATAAACTCTTAGTATTTCGATAATCTTCATAGTCTAAATAATCTTTCCAAAGGATATGTCCTTTGACTTGCCTTATGCTTTGTTCCATTCATTGTTTTACCCATCTTTGCAAAGCGAAGTTACAAACCATGATGTATAGATGTTGTTGGTTATGCTAGGGATAAGGCCTAATATTTTGCCTCAGAACTAATACAAAGAAACTACTGAGATATCTCTTAAAATGTCTGCTTTGTGATTATTCAGTACTAAAATTTGTTCAATATTATCATCCTTACACAAATGATTTCCTTGTAAAATAGAATCAGAATAAATTGGTTAATTTTGCTTTTGTAGAGGGAAACAGAAAACCTTTTTCAATAGGAAGTATTAGAGCTAGTTTTATTAAATATCATAAATCATGTACAACTTAGTTATAATGAAATGCATAGGAATGTTTGTTAAACAATGTTTGGGGGAAACTCTGTTTGTTTTTATAATCAGTTGTGAAACAGCTCAAGCACAGTTACAGCCATTCAAAGGCTGGAGTGTTCATCTTCCCACTACCAGAAGATGTTCTGTTTTAACAAGAAAAGGGAAGGGGCTTTAAGTGACTGCCTTCAGCACTGGCTTCCCATATGGACACAGGTTTGAGTCTGGCTGCTCCGGTTCTAATCCAGCTCCTTGCTGATGTGCCTGGGAAAGAACAGAGGATGGCCAAAGCACTTTGGGTCCCTGCTGTCCTTGTGGGAGACCCGGATAGAGTTCCAGGCTCCTGAAACTTCAGCCTAGTTTTTGCAGTCTGTTGGAGAGTGAACTAGCAAACTAAAGATCTGTCTCTGTGTCCCTCTCCTTCCTTCCTTCTATATAACTCTGACTTTCAGAAAGCTAAGTAAATAATTTGAAAAGAAAAGAAAAAAAAAAAGGAAGAAATGTGAAACCTTGAACCAGGACCAGTGGTTTCCTCTAAACTGATTCCCTAGGACAATTTAGGTAATTAAACATTTAATATAATTTAGATGTAGTTTCTTCCCCACTCACCGTCACTGTCATATAACCTCAGTTAATGGAAAGTTAACTATACCTTAAATATTGTCTTAATAGATTATCAACTTGAAGGTCCAAGGCTTGATTTTGCATTATAACAATGATTTCTCGTACTTTGGAAATAATGTTTCTTGAAGAGAATCTAATAGTGAACCAAGGTGTATATTTGCCAAATTAGACCATTTACATAATATTCTGAAAATAAATATACATAGACATGCTTTGCTTATCTTAACAAAATGATACTTTTTAAGCTTAAATTCTCATTTAATTTTTTTTTTTAAAATTTAAAGAGACATGAAGAGAGCACCCATTTCTGATTCACTCTAAATGCTTACACAGGCCCAGACTAGGCTACACCAAAACCAGGAGCTGGGAATACGCATAGGAGTTCTGAGGTCTCACACAAGGGTGTCTAGATAATTCTGGACTTGAGCCATAATCGCTCTCTCACAATGCTTATATTTTTTGTTAATATAAGGAGAAAAGATTCCATGCATTCCATAGGTACAGCTCCAAGAAGACAGCCACACTTCCCTCACGTCCTTGCTTCCCACCGTGCCGCACACATAGATGTAACTTTACCAGCAGCATTTCTTGAAGAGATCATTCTCCTGGGATTGTCTTTGGTTTGCTTGATAGAAATTAGTTGGCTGTGTATGTATGGCTTCATTTCTGGGGTTTCTATTCTATTCATTTGATCTTCATTTCTATTTTTTGAGCCATTACCAGGCTGTTTTGGTTACAACTTACCTGTAGCACATCTTGAAATCTGGTATTTGATGCCTCCAGCTTTCTTTTGTTGTGTAAGATTGGTTTAACTATTTAGGGGTCTCTTGTGTTCCCATATGAAGTTTTAGCTTAATTTTTTTCTGTTTCTGAAGAGACTCACGTTGAATTTGTAAACTACTTTTCAGTAGTGTGGACTTTTTGATAACATTAATTCTACCATTCCACAAGTATGGAAAGTTTTTCCAGTTTTTGGTATCTTCTATTTCTTTAATGTTTTGTGATTTTCATCAGAGATCCCCCACATTCTTGGTTAAATTTAGTCCAAGGTATTTTTAAAAATTTTGCTGCTGTTTTGCCCCGTTCAGACCTTAAATACTTTCGGAAAATCACAATACTGTTTTGTTACAAATGCTAATAACTTTTAAGTTTCATTCTAGCATGCACCATCAGAGCCTTTTTGAACAATCCTCACATGAGATTGGGGCTTCTTGTCTGTCACGTATCACTGTCCCCTGTTTTCACACAACTTGTTCCAAATTTGGAGTGCTTGCTTATTCCTTTCTTTAAGAAGTTCTTGGTCCAGAAGAACACTGTCAGTCAACACCACAGTTTGTGAACGTGGCACATGCATTGAGTATCTAAAGAAGTCATTGTTGTTGCAGTGATCAGTAATGTCACATTTATGGAATAATTTCAATATGCCAATCTCTGCAGCAAGCATTCCATATCAACTCTTTGATTCACTGTACCAAGCAATATTAAGAGATATCTGCATTCATTTTTTTTAAAGATTTGTTTATTTTTATTGAAAAGTCAGATATATATATGGAGAGGAGGAGACAGAGAGAAATATCTTCCGTCCAATGATTCACTCCCAAAATGACCACAATGGCCGATGCTGTGCCAATCCAAAGCCAGGAATCAGGAGCTCTGCTGGATCTCCCATGCAGGCTCAGGATCCCAAGGCTTTGGGCCATCCTCAACTACTTTCGCAGACCAGAAGCAGAGAGCTGGATGGGAAGCGGGGCTGCTAAGATTAGAACTGGCGCCCATATGGGATCCTGGTGCATTCAAGGCCAGGACTTTAGCTGCTAGGCTAAGCCACCACACCGGGCCCTATTTTCATTTTTTAATGTAGGGAAGCTAAGGTTAAGTAGTTCACCTAACGTTAAAAAATACCTAAATTTAAAAACCAAATGAGGAATCAAGGCTTTATTACAAGGCTTCAATTTTTGAGTCAAATGGATGGGTAGTTAGAGAATGAAGGGACTCGTAGGGAAAGGAGATGACTTCTTTTGGCTTGATTAGTGAGAAAGCAATAAAAACGTGAATGACTGCTGCTACCAAGACAAGTTAAGAGCCATAGAAATGTGCTTCACTGCATACAGCCATCCCTGCAGGCAAGCACTAGTGGTGCGGGAGCTGATGGGGAGAGGACGGCAGAACTGGACCTCCTCCCCGAGGGCTGACCCCAGCCGGTGGAAGAGTCAGCCTGGGTGCTCGTAGGCATAGCGTAGTCACCCTACATGATGGAAAACAACACCCCGTAGGAAACCTGGCTTTGTTGAACAATACTATACAAAGACTACTGTGGCTTTCTAATGGAAAATCAAAGAAAGCAAATCAGCCTCTGGGCATTTTCATTGTTTCAATGCATAAGACATTTACAAACATTTTTTTCCTCAAGGTGTTTATTTTGGTGAAATATTTTTAAGAGGCTTTTACAGAGGTTAATACTACTGTTTAGAATTTCAAGTCAAAGTGCTACTTGGGACACCTGTATTCTACAACAGAATGCCTGTGTTTGAATCCCACCTATACTTTGATTTCAGTACACCTTGTAGGTGATGGTTCAAGCACTTGGCTCCTTACTGCCCACAAGAAAGACACAGATTAAGTTTTGGACCCCTGGCCTTGGCTTGGCCTAGCCTGCCTGTTGGGGCTGAAGCAGCGAATGCAAAATGAATATCTGTCTCTGTCTTTCTCTTTTTTCCTTTCATGTAAAATTAATTAGTTAAAGTTTTAGACTTTAGTTATTCAGGATTTTTGATGAAATTATTTGCAAATTGAAACTTGCTTGCCAGATATGAGCTGCTTACACTGAACTGTAGTATCTAATTCAAATACAGTGTTCAGTTCATTAACTGTTACTAAGCTAAGGCAGAGTTTTTTACTAGAAATAATGAAGTCAGCAGGTAATTCAGATTCATTTTTTGTACAGCTCCAGGATTCCTTGAAATAAGGGGACCATTTGTATTTTTTTCTTTTATTTTAGGAAAGCCTTGATTAACATGAATTTTGACTATGGTCAATTTGATTTAGAAAATTCTGTTTTAAAATGTGAGATTATTAGCCACTAAGAGTAAATAGGAGAAGGGAGGAGACATTAATCTCTTTTAGAATGGGATACTTTTTCAATAGATTAGGATATTTCTGAATGTCAATTCTTTGTGACTTATTTATTTAAGCAGACATCTGACAAACGGTAGTGTTGCTCCAACTTACATCTGAAAATTCCTCCTACACAAGAGTCTGAGAAAAGTGCTTTCCAATCATTTGATTCTTCTGATTGGACAGAGAAGTGGATAGAGAAAATCTTCACATGAAGGAAAAATTTTAGTTTAGTTAGGTTTTTTATTGTTGTTGTTTGCTTTTTTAATAAAGACAGATAAGATTTACAGAGAGGAGAGACAGAGAAAGATCTTCCATCTGCTGGTTCACTCCCCAAGTAGCTGCAATGGTCGGAACTGAGCTGATCCAAAGCCAGAAGCCAGGAGCCAGGAGCTTCTTCTGGGTCTCCCATGTGGGTGCTGGGACCCACAGGCTTGGGCCAGCCTCCATTGCTTTTCCAGCTCATAAGCAAGGAGCTAGGTGAGAAGCAGAGCAGCTGGGAAATGAACCAGCACCCGTACAGGATCCCAGTGCTTACAAGGTGAGGGTTTAGCCATTGAGCCATCCTGGAAAGGTATTATTCTTGTCCAGTTAGCCAGAATCCTGGATCTGGAACCAGAGTTTGAAACTGGAATTGCTGCTTCATATTCTGATTTACCCATCAAATTGCATTTCCCACACATTACTCTGTAAAAACCTTCCTGGTCTCCTGAGAAGTATGAAGACTAAAACTCCTTTCGTAATGACTAAAGAATTTTTGCCGCAGAGAATATTGAAAATGAAAAAGTACTTGGAAGTGTTAGTCATTCTCTATTTAGGTGACTGATTTTACATTTCTGTGTTTTGTTTTTTGGGTTGGGTGTTTTGAGTACTGTCTGCTGTAACTGAGCATACTTGAAATGCTTTACACGTGTCAACCACAAAATAGTCCAGGTCCCAAGCGCTTGATCTCCCTGGCCTGAGTCATTATTTCTGGGTGAGCTAGAACAGCTCCTAGGTCCCTCCAGCCAGGCCTGCCATCCACGCACATTGCCGAAGGCTTGTTAGCTCTGTAACCTGCCTGCAGAGTAGTGAGAAGTGACTCAAGTGACTGACAGGCAAATGACACTTCCCTATGGGCTTGCCTCAGACACCTTGTGTCTGCCTACCGTGGTACATTATTAGATGAGTTCATTATGAAAGAACTTTTAGTATCACATATAGATGTATATGTATATATTTTACCATAAAGACCAAAGTTTGAATCTATAGAGAACAAAACTCACTGACACTACTAAAAGTATGACAGGAATTCATTTGTGGAATCGGTTTATAATAAGCAATATGCAGTGATTTTGTGATTTTTTTTTACCCTCCCCCAGGAATTTTCTTGAAAGGTTTATGAAATATGTAATTTTAGTCATTTGCTCTCATTTGAATATTATCTCTATTTCAGAGATTGTTCTTCTAATGTTGCTGTTTTAAATGACTTGTTCTGATAGGGCTATTTTAATTTTTAGGGACATTCCTGTGGATTTCAAGTATATAGCAGAACCCAGTATGCATTCAATGCCTGCAGTGACTTTGTCTCCAAACGGTGAGTTAGTAATACAAAATGTTCTTAACTGAGCCTCTGAAACACGATGCTTTTCTTTATTCATGAGAAATTTGGCCATTCCCTTGTAGAGCAAGATTTTCACAGTACCACGCTTGTAACAAGGAAACCTTTTATATGTTAGAAATACTTGTGGCTTTCATCTGTGAGTCACCTTATCTACTCTGTTTATTTGTTTGAAATAAAAATAAAAGAATGATTTATAGCCAACAATGAATAAGCATCTAAAGATTTCTCTCTGAAAGTCATTTTTCTTTTTATGATTCCCCTTCCAACACAATTAGGTTCAATATATCATTATTTATTATGAGCTCTTCTCTTTCAAAGGGTAGGAAATTTTCATCTGATTCTCCATAATGAGAATACCTTAGCAATTTACCATAAAAAAGATTTTGCTATGAAGAAATAAAATGAGCAAGATCGATCTCTTTAATACCGTCTCCTGCACAGTAATCATTGCCTTTTAAGTATGAGACGATTTGTGCTACAGAGAAACTGACATTGTACTGACAAGAAATCATAGGTGCTCATGGGAGTGTTAAAGCAGAGGATCTGATATTTAGGAAGCATCACTGAAGCCATAGTTCACTCTGCACACCAGTGTGGAGTAAGGAAAAGGATACAGGAATTAGCTGGTCCTTCTGGGCCTTTTTCTGCAGGCAGATTGGTGACAGGTGTCAACTGCTCTATGATTTGTATGAGAATAGTAACCTAACTGTATCCTATTTAAGGATCACTTTGTATTATAGCCTTTATAACTGTGTGTCTATCTGTTACAAATACTGTGTCCCTGTTCAGCAAGGCCACTGGTGGCCCTCTGAGGCTTTGGAGGGTCGTGTCCTTAGGGATGTGTGCCAGGCTGTAGGATGCAAGTAGAAAGTGCATTAGGCTCTGGGGCTTCCATGAGTCCTGGGGAGAGAAAAAGTAGGGTGACCTTGAAAACACAGCTACTGTAACCTTTTTAATCTCATCTCTTTTTTTTATAGTTTTAATAATTTAATAATCCTAGTTTCTCTCGTCTGTATTAACCTTCCCTTATTTCATAATTGCCACAAAGAGGTCTCGTTCCCATGATAGTCCTGTTGTTTACACATATTAGAAGTTGGTTTCATTTCATAAATTTCTGTTTCATTTTTATGAACACCAAGCTTGGAATTGCTGTATTTTCTTATTTCATTAAAAAGCTTTTGTGTGGAACGTGTTTGCTGATATAGGGTCATATGAGTCAATCTGATACTTCAGAGGTCGAATGCCTCTTTAACGGGACGGTATTTCTTAGCATTTTACAGGCAGTGTGGTAAGTGTACTTTTTAGTTTTATAGAGTAGTTCCAAGCAAACAATGAATTTGTTTCCAATAAAAAATTGTTTTTAAGTTTTTCAATGTTTTCTCTAAAATCTCTCTTTTACTGAATTACAGGGAAGTGGCTAGCGTGCCAATCAATGGACAACCAAATCTTAATTTTTGGAGCACAGAACAGATTTAGATTAAATAAGAAAAAAATTTTTAAGGGCCACATGGTAGCAGGCTATGCTTGTCAGGTGGACTTTTCTCCAGATATGAGGTAAGTCAGATTGTAAACAATTGTTGTAAAAGTAGTACTTCACAAATCACTTCCACATATGAGAACTATATAATTTGTCAAAATGTCAGGTGTAAAGGTAAGAACAATTTATAAAATTACATTTTGATTTCAAGTTCTTACTTCAGTATATCTGTAGGTTTGTGCCCTTTAACCACTTAATAAATCCTTGTCCCTGTCCCCAGTGCCTTATTTTCTTCTCTGCTTTTCTAAACAAGTTTAGCTGTACTGTAATCACTGTGTTGGTGTGGTTAAATGCCACAAGCATCAGCTCTACAATGTGAAAGTAAACTTGACTGCAGCCTGTCAGTGCTGAGACCTTAAAACCAGCTTGTGAATAGTTAGTTCTCTGTCACATTGGGCTTGTATAGCTGCAGTCTTTTTTTTTTGGAAAGTCATATATACAGAGAGGAAGATTTCCCTTCCGTTGATTAACTCCCAAGTGGCTGCAACGACCAGAACTGAGTGATCTGAAGCCAGGAGCCTCTTCCAGGTCTCCCACGTGGGAGCAGGGTCCCAAAGCTTTTGGGCCGTCCTCGACAGCTTTCCCAGGCCACAAGCAGGGAGCTGGATGGGAAGTGGGGCTGCCAGGACAGCAACTGATGCCCATATGAGATCCTGGCACATGCCAGGCGAGGACATTAGTCACTAGACTACTAGGCCAGGACCTGTTTAGCTACAATCTTGCCAAGAGTAAAATGCTACTTTTACTCTCCCAGGCTTAGTTAAGTTGTAAGCTAAAGTGGTGTCAATATCCGTGTAATTTTGTCTGTATAGGCCAGTAATTGGCCCTTAATTTCCTACCTCTGATTCAGTTCTAGATGTATTCAGAAGATCAGGAAACCAGAACATTTATGAATGTAGTAGATTCTGCAAGGGTAGAGTGGGTCTAACATATTCACCAGATATATGAAATTGATTCCTCTATTCTGTTTCTGACTGGAAAGTAAATGTGATAACCCATTCCTTGTGGACCCTGAGACTTGCAGTCTTCCTAGTTAAAAAGTTTTCTGTAGTTAGGTCCGAAGTTCATTGGTGAAATTTGTTGTGATGGGAGTTCAAGTGTCAGGCTCCTTGTGATCCTCAGAGTATTATACATTCATATTGGTAATATTTTATGTTAAGGTAAAAAGATAAAATACTTTTGTTCTTCACCCAGTTGGTATGTGAATGATTTGAAATGTGTTTTTCTTTCAATTGCAGCTATGTGATTTCAGGAGATGGAAATGGAAAATTAAACATTTGGGATTGGAAGACCACAAAGCTCTATAGTCGGTTTAAAGCTCATGATAAAGTGTGTATAGGTGCGGTGTGGCATCCTCATGAAACATCTAAGGTCATAACCTGCGGGTGGGATGGTTTAATAAAATTGTGGGATTAAGAAAATCAGCCCTTCAATTGTCTAGGATCATTTTTGATCCAATGTTATATTTAAATCCGTTCATATTATTATATATGTTGGATGACAACCTGATTTGCAAATGATATCTTTCTTACATGCCTTATGGAATTGAACCATTACTTGCAAAAACAAAAAAAGAAACTGTAAATTTGCCTCTTAAAATTCATTAACGGCTTTGTTTTGTTTTGCAGTTTTTTTATACAGAAAATGACCATTTGTATTTGACGGATAGTTGTTGTTAGCGGTCAGTTTAAAGATTATTCTCATGATATACTAAAGGGATCCCTGTGGGCTCAAGAAAGAACTCCTAGTGGATTTGGCAGTATAGGGGAGACAGTATAGTTAATGACTCAAAAAGGTACTGTATACTAAAAGGGCAGTAACAAACAGGGATGATGGAATTTAATAGAAATGAGACACAAGAGTTGAACCACCTGCCATTGCTCTTGCTGTTATTTTCAGTGGGTCAAGTCATTTGGCTTGAGTTCAGCTATTTTTGATGACATATGTCATATGTTTTAAATTATAAATCACTAATATTTTCTGCAGCATTCTTCCAGTTATTAAACTGTAAAATTTAAAAGTACAAAGTTTTTCTTGAGTTCCTTCCTGATCAGTGTAGATATAGTTCTATAAATATATAAACAGACACTTATATTGTTTCAGAAGATGGAACTGGAGCAAAGGAGCCAAGACTTTGAATTTTATTTATATTCACTAGCAGTAGGAGCTTGCAGAATTGGATCCCGTGTCATTGCTTTACCGACATTACTGTTGAAATCTCCATGAAAGAATAGATTCTATGGGCAAAGTCCAAAACATCAGCTTGTGATTTCTTTGAAGTCATATTTTATCTTTAAACTATTCTGATTTTACTTGTTAAGTACATATGGCAGAGTTAGAACTCTAGGAAGATGCTAAGGGTCCCATTTGAAAAGCAAGTGACCATGGCAAAAAAGTTTCAGAATTTGAGATTATGAAAAATCAAAATAGCTTCATGAATAGAATTAGCTAATAGCACTTCAGTTTGGACAAACCCTTTCTCCTATTTCATTGCAAGTTTACATTCGGTGTTTGAATGTGTTTTGAAATATTTCCGTACCATGTTACCATGGTAAGATTTCTTGGAAGCTGCTCAGACTGCTGGCTAGGTCATCAAAATCATGTTGAGTGTTGTTAAACAGAGGAATAAGGTCTGTCCTAGCATGCATATTTCTGTGCTATCCTACCATGCATGTTCCTTGCCTTAAGAATGCTTCCAATTTTAAAAATCAAAGTTTCAAAAGGCCTGGTGTATATGAACAGTACCTGCAATTACATATCAATGAGCTACAAGAGAGGAAAAAGAAGAAATAAACATGGAGGAGTGCGTTTTTTGACACAGAGACACTCAAAGAATCACAAACGCATTACCCACACAGCACTAGGAAAGTGACAAGGTTCTCGGGTGGGAAGGAACCAGACAAGACTTTTCCTTTAGTCCCACAAGCACTGGGTCTAATAAATGTGAATTATTGAAACACGATGGGACAGAAAAAAATTATTTAAACTGTCTTGTTTGCCATCAGTATTGTATGTTACAAACCTTAATTTCTTAATCTGAAGTTATTGTATTTTTGACTGTTTCTAAACTAAGTAACTGTATATAAATATAAAAGCCTGTTTTTTTTTTTGAAAAGATCATATTTTTTAAAATAAAGCCATTTTGTAGAAAGTTTTTCCAGATGTTCACCTTGCAGTCTCTTTTTAGTTTTGGGTCTGTTGCAATACTCTCTACCATTTGCAGATTTAAATGAATCATGAAGATAAATGATGTCTAGCAGTGTGTATAGCGTACTGTTGCATACTGTTGGGTTTCTTACAATTAAATATTACAGACCAGTGTCCTCAGAGCATGCAAATTAAATTTCATCTTTTTCATATTTACTCATGATTCTGCCCCACTTTACAGTAATTAAACAAAGGGAGTATTTTTCTAGAAAGAATACATTTGTGGAGGATATTATTTCTGGACTTGCGTCTGGCTCATTGTCCTCACTTTCCCATTTACCACACCCAGGACAGACTTGCTTCCAAGAGTTAGAATAAAGATAGTGTTTTGGTGAAAGATTGAATCAAGTGAATATTTCACTCTGAATGAGGAGCCAATTTTTAAATTGAAAAAAGCAGGAATGACATTTCTAAATTAAAAACATAATTGAGTCATTCTTGAAGATCCTTAGTGGTGCAGGCTGGTACCCTTACCATGTTTACAGATAACCCGGAAGGAAACCCTGACAGTAAAATAGCCTGACAGTCATCCACCTGTCACCCTAAGAGGCAGAACTAGGAGAAGGTGGTGGTTAGTTGAGGAGGGCAGTGTGAAGTGGCATGCAGGTCACAATAACCATCAGCAGTATTAAATGTGGATCTCAGCGTGAGACCTGAGAATATTGACTCCGCATTTTATCAAAGATGCGTATTTTTCATGATGCTTCTCAGTAGAGCAGTGGATAAAATCTGTCTCACAGTTTAATGAGAAGCATTCATTCATTCTTGGTGGGGCATAAAGTAATTGATGAACTGCATTATAGACAATGAGAAAGAAGAACCAGCAGGAGAAATCTATCGTAGCAGCTACCTGAGAAGTCGTGTTATGAAGACACTTATTTGGCAAGTGAGTAAATAAACTGAATAAACTCAGTGCAACAAATCACAGAAGTTTTAAAGATGCTGAAGTCTTGATCCCAACTCAGACCTCCCAAATCGCCGTCATCACTTTCAGCAAAGTTGCATTAGGATGAGAACAAGTGAGGTAGGCTCCCAGAGTTAGTGTGGGCATTTGGCAATGCTCTAGACTTGGAAGCACGTAGGGTCAGAAAAATTTAGCTACTGAGAAGTACATATGTGTGTGCATGCTTGTTAACCTATGTTGTGGATTCCATATTCATAGTTACTTTAATAGCTTTAGAAAATTTTTCAAACCTAAACATGGCAATTTTACTTACAATTTAATAATGAAGCAGCAAGACATGCAGCGAAGACCCTTAGAGTGGCTTCCTTTGGAGTGACAGTAAGTGGAAGAGACACCAGCTTTGGTTTTACAGTCTCCTGTAGCTGCAAGAGCTGTCTTCAGATGCATGTTTTAGCTCCCTATTCTCCAGCTTCTAGCAAGCCTAGATCTCTGACATCTATGTTCTAAGACATTGCTATCCAATATGTGTCATTTATGTTATTTTAAATTGCAAACACTAAACACAAAAAGGGGATTTGTTTTAATAATGTATTTTTATTGACTATGATATCCAGAATTTATTTCACTGTGCATTCAGTTACCTTAAAATTTAATATTTTATGTTTTCATTCTAAATCTTTGAAATCTGGCAGGTAACTTGCAACCTGTCTCAAGAAAGTCACTTAAATTTTCATCAAAATATTTGATCTCGTGCATGGTAGATTTAGATGCCTAAATCATTCCAAATATTCTTAGTTCTCCAACAACTGAATATTCTTTTTTCCTATATCCTATTTCAGGTAATTTTTTCATTGCTACCTTCCATTTCACTTAAGTCTTTTCAGCTATGTCTAATTTTAAATCTATTCATTTGTTTAATCTGTTAAACCTATTCTGGTTACTCTTGCTACAAGATGTATTTATATTTTTTCTATCTCATAGTGTCATTTTCTTATGGTTTTTATTGTATTTTATACCTTTAATTGTTTTAAGCAATGTGTAGTATACTTTAAGTTTGTTTTTCTGTTAACCTCAAATTCTTGGGGCTGAAAATCCCCGTGTATATTAACTTTACCCCAGAACAGACCATATCCTTCCCTGTAATTTTTATGAGCTTAATTTTTTTTAATCTTAGTTTCTCAGTTTGTGTTTTTATGACTAATAAATACTTACTCTTCCTCCCCATTTCCTGGTATGTAACTCCTGAAATCCTTGAGTTTTCTAAAGGATGTATCTTCTATGCTAAGGAAATGACTGGTTGCTGCCGTGGCAGGATTAGAGGGCAGAATTAAAGGTTGCAGTTTTCAGTCTCACTCTGCAGCTTGCTGGGAGAGGAGAAAGGCTGAGGTTAAGATGGTCACCAGTGTCATGCCTGTGTTACTCTAAAGTCCAAAAGGGACAGGCAAGGGTCAGAGATGTAGGTAGCCTAGGACAGCTGAACAGGTGCAAGTCCAGAGGGCTGTGTATGCAAAATGGCATGAAAGCTTGGCATGCCTGCATCTGTAGCCCTTCTTTGACGTAAATCAATAAACACATTTTTCTGAGTTCAACGTGATGCTTAAGCAAATGAATCCAATTCAGGGAGAGGGTCATGGAAACCAGTGTATAGCTGGTGGGACAGAGATACACATAAAGATCTGGAGCTTGTAACTTGCCTCTGAAGTGAGGTGAGGGAGGGGGGCTGGCTTGTGGGTTGAACCCTCAACCTGCAAGCCCAAGGCTGTCTCTTTTATGTAATGTCAGAACTGATCTGTGGTAGAGGACGAGCGACTGGTAAGGGATAGGTGGGCAGCCAACCTAGAATTGGTGGTCACACTTGCGCTGCCCTGTGGAATCCTATCCACTCACCTGTCAAGCTGATAGATCCTTTTAACTGGGACGTGAGGGGGGCTCAGTCCTGTTGCCACTCCTCCTTGGACACCACAGAAGCCCATACTAATGAGGGGCACCCTCTTTCCAGGGACTTAGACAAGGCAGGCAGAAAAAAAAAAAACCCTCTCTACCCCTTTCCCTCCTGGCCCACTGTGTTCCTGAACATGACTCAGGTGTATATGATTTCCTCACCTTCTTAATAAAGTTGATCACTTAGTAAGTTGTATTTGTGCCTATGCCTAAAAAGGAAAAATTAGCCCCAACCTAGCCCACAACACAACCAGCATCGGCTGCGGCAAGGCTTGCTGCTGGCAGTGGGAATCCCCACACCTTTCAAGGTCATGGAAGTCTGCATTAATTGTGGTGCGAGAACAGAATAAATGATTTGTTTCTCTACCATTCAGCATTGCTCACCATGTGATTGGAATAAATTCAACTCCTTCAACAGGCGTAGCATTTTAATTTCTCCAGAAATGAATCTACAGTCAGCTGTGACAGAGCCATTTCTACGTGCTGGTGATTGGGGAATTGTTAGTCCCACTTTGCTGCAGTTGTTTCGGCCTCATTCCTTCTGCCCCAACATCAGGCCCTATCTGTGGGGCTCTGAGTCTCCAACCA